GGGCTGCAACATGACCTCACCACACTGCACTGTTTTGTCAATTTTTCTTCCAAATGAGGAGTTTCCTGTATGCTAACTCTAGAAAATAACTTGATGATCAGTTGTGAGACAGCACTAGATTACCACTAGATACACACAAAAACCAGTCCTTGTAGACTATTAGGGGCTACCAAGTCTACCGCATGTCACTGGGGGGACAGGGTACAAAATTTGTCTTTCAGTAAGGAAAAAACAAAAAGAAAAAAAAAAAGAATACTTTTTATAAACTTCTGTTTTTTTTTCTTTCTTTTTCAAACTTTTGTGATAAATTCTTGATTTTTTATGGATTTATCAAATCAATGATTTAAATTTGGGTCCAGATTAAAATCCCATGTACAGGAGGAGTCCCTTATGTTCCCTCCTGGTGGTGAGAAACACTAAATGATTATAAATTATTGTGACAGAATTCAATAAACAAAAAAAAATTGCAAATATTTTTTTCCAATAATTTGTAATGAGGTGCTATACTGGGAGAAAATGACAACACTAATCGGTAAATTAAACATGGAATTGCCGGTTGTGCTGTGGTCACACAAGTCTATCTCAGGCCCTCGTGTTTAGAAATGACATCAGTCTGTAATTATGACACAAAAAAAACAAACATCCCAACAATACAATATACACGGTATATTTACCCTATCAAACATACATTGCTTTTCAATAAATAATTCTCAATCAGTCTTTTGTGAGCCTACCTTCTCAGTACTTTAACAGATCTTTCTACTTTCGCACCTGGTAAATTTCTCTAAATAATTATTACTTTCTCAGAGGGACATTGGCCATATATGGTAAGGTATGATTATTTTGCGGTGAACTTTACCGCCCTAGTTGAGTGAGCATATCGAATTAACAGTGCACTCTATTGCACACCTCCTCTTAAAGACACTTTATTTAACCCCCACCCTCTCATTCAGTACTTGTTTTATTAAGTGATATTTATAAAAAGGTAATTCACAAATGAACAACAGATTGCTGTGCCTGGTAAACAGACTGGTTAACAGTACCATAGGGGATGGCTGCACTACACTTCACACGTCCTATTACAAACAAAATACAAATTTACGAAAAGAAGCTACAATTTGACAGAAATTTAATTTCACTGAAATGAAATGAAATTTATTGAATAAAGCCAAGGTTTCACCTCATAATGTTTTGAATATCTTGGTATTCTTTTTTATATTTACATGTATTTTTTCAAAATGTTTTATTTTTAGTTTTGACAATCCTTTTTATAAATATGTGTCTCTGATTAATTCATTCACTCGGTACTGTATACTGTGTTTCCTAGTAGATCAATTACAACAACAAAACAACGCTTCATTTTTATTTCTTACATACATTAGTACCGAATACCTAACCTTGAGTTTGTACATTAACCGTTGTGATAAATTTGTGTTCAAATGAGTTTGTGATTCCAGATAAACTGTCTATTGATACATTTGTGTTTAAAACAAAAATTCTGTTGAAGTTGAGAAACTTGCAGTTTCCCAAAACATGTCTGTAGTTAGATTAACAACCGATAAACCAACTATATTGCTCTCATGACATTTTTGCTTTTTTTTCGGTAATTTTTCATCAGCAATTATATTTAAGTTTCACAGACATCTACATTTTAAATAAGATTTTTCCACAGAAATGTTACAGCCAATTACACAGGAAACATGTCCTCTGGTAGCAACTCAAAATGCAATCAGAGAACGGAATTGGCCCTATGTCCATCGACGGAATTCCCCATGGACTTTTTTCCATCAAGACAGAGACAGATAAAATGTAACATGGATAAGAATTGAATTGTGTAATTTAAGACAACTGCTGGAAAGACTCTCTTGGTCACTTATCTAACTTCCAACATAGGTAGTGACATCTGCGACCAAGTCTATACTCACTATTCAATGTGACACTTTTGCTTTTTCTGAAATTCTAGGATCCGGCGTGATGGTCCCCAAAAGAGTCTTGCATGGATATTTCTCTATCAGGATGGGTCGACACCCATTAAACGATACGCTATAAATGTTCTTTTCAATAATTGATATGTAAAGGGAAAACCTACCAAAATCTTTATCTCAATTTAATGGTTTAAGAAAAGAATATTTCCAATACATGTCCACCGTACATATGTTACACCTTATAAAACTGAAAATAATTGAGATGTGTCGAATTAAAAAAATTGTACTGACTTAATTTGCAGCCTAGTCGCTACAGAAAGCACCTGCTCCACAAGTTAAGTGGCATCAACACACAAAACCAGCTCAACCAGGGGCACATGAAAAACGTTGAAATGTAATTGGATTCGAGATTAGAGATCTTGTGATGGAGCTAGATGGGTATTTATGAGTGTGATGTAAAGTGTGTGTACCCTTTCTTGTTCAATTTACTGGTGTCCAATCTTTGTGCTTTTGTTTAACAATTAAAAAACAAGACATCATGTACTGTAAAACTGTAGCTAATTCAAGACAATTTCAAAAGTCTTGAAAAGGATAATTTTCTAAAAACTGAAGTATTGTAAAATTTAGAAGAAAATTTCCACCGTTAAACCTAGAAGTGTCCATGATCTAAAAAAAAAAGCCCCAACAATCACAGGAGTTTTTTGTAACAGTTGTAGTATTTTTGTCGTTGTAAAATACATAACAGAAATCAAACTTCTTGAATAAAGTAACTTGAACTACACTCTGCAATGTAAACTGCACATGGCACTAACTGCCATCCCATGTTGATAATTGAAACCAAGTTTGAATTATTTTAAACAGAAAATAAAGAATCAAAAGAAACCAAAGGGCCTGAATTGTGCATCTGTTCTGCAGTTTACTAAAATAAATGTCAGTTTGAACTTCTACAATCTTCAAATCTCATTCCCTTAGCATGCACTACTTATAGTTCATTGTTCATGGATAATTTGCTCTTGAAAAGAAGAATTCAAAATTTTTTAACACATTTGAACAATGTGACCTTGAAATCAAGTCATGGTTATTCAATTAGGTAGCACTTTATCAGAAATTGTCCAATATAAGTATCCTAGCCATTTGATTAATGAAGAGAAGTTAACAGGAGATAACAGCATTTAACCCCCATGACTTTCAAAGTGTGTCAAGGTCATCCATTTCAACAAACTTGTAGCCCTTCTTCATGACCCTAGGCCTGGGCCTTTTGGTAATTGACAAGAATGTTTTTGAGCACGTCAACAAATGGTCACCTGTGTGACCTTGAAAGTAGGTCAAGGTATTTCATTTAAACAGACTTAATAGACCTTCATCCCAGCATATTACAGGCCCAATATCAGTAACCTGGACCATTTGGTTATTGATAAGAAATCATTTGAACATTTTAATATATTTGAGCCATGTAAATTGAAATTAGACTAATGTCATTCAATTGACTTTATGTAGTAGCCCTTCATCTCAGCATGTTACAAGCCAAATATAAAAACTCTAGGCCTTTCGGTTATTGAAAAAAAGTCATTTGAAGACTCAAACAAATTTGCATGCTGGAACTCTTGAGATTAACACAACTTCTTAAAGCTTATACAGACACTTACATTAACAAAAAGGTTTTTTGTCATGCTGAAATAAAAGCCATTTTTTCTGATGGCAAAACTTCATGTAACTATCTCTATATGGTACCATGGTCAACCAGAATTTTCAATGATCTCTTAACTACCCAAAGCTCAACGACAAACGACAGATCATTAACATGACAGTAAAGTTAAGTCATAGGAACAGATCGACATGACAGCCAAGTCAAATGAACAGATAAACATGACAGCAAAGTCAAATGAACAGATAAACATGACAGCAAAGTCAAATGAACAGATAAACATGACTGTAAGTCACAGGAACAGATAAACATGACTGTAAGTCACAGGAACAGATAAACATGACAGCCAAGTCAAATGAACAGATAAACATGACAGCAAAGTCACAGGAACAGATAAACATGACAGCAAAGTCACAGGAACAGATAAACATGACAGCAAAGTCAAATGAACAGATAAACATGACTGTAAGTCAAAGGAACAGATAAACATGACTGCAAGTCACAGGAACATATATACATGACAGCAAAGTCAAATGAACAGATAAACATGACAGTAAAGTCAAATGAACAGATAAACATGACAGCAATGTCAAATGAACAGATAAACATGACAGCAAAGTCACAGGAACAGATAAACATGACAGTAAAGTCAAATGAACAGATAAACATGACAGCAAAGTCACAGGAACAGATAAACATGACAGCAAAGTCAAATGAACAGATAAATATGACAGCAAAGTCAAATGAACAGATAAACATGACTGTAAGTCACAGGAACAGATAAACATGACAGCAAAGTCAAATGAACAGATAGACATGACAGCCAAGTCAAATGAACAGATAAACATGACAGCAAAGTCAAATGAACAGATAAACATGACAGCAAAGTCAAATGAACAGATAAACATGACTGTAAGTCACAGGAACAGATAAACATGACTGTAAGTCATAGGAACAGATAAACATGACAGCCAAGTCAAATGAACAGATAAACATGACAGCCAAGTCAAATGAACAGATAAACATGACAGCAAAGTCACAGGAACATATACACATGACAGCAAAGTCAAATGAACAGATAAACATGACAGCAAAGTCAAATGAACAGATAAACATGACAGCAAAGTCAAATGAACAGATAAACATGACAGCAAAGTCAAATGAACAGATAAACATGACAGCAAAGTCACAGGAACAGATAAACATGACTGTAAGTCACAGGAACAGATAAACATGACTGTAAGTCACAGGAACAGATAAACATGACTGTAAGTCACAGGAACAGATAAACATGACTGTAAGTCACAGGAACAGATAAATATGACTGTAAGTCACAGGAACAGATAAACATGACTGTAAGTCACAGGAACAGATAAACATGACTGTAAGTCACAGGAACAGGAAAAAATATACTTAAAGAAAAAACTTACATCAAACCTGGATAGTGATGCAGCCTCAATGGAGGGCGAGTCCTTCCCTCGGCGACCAGACGGAGATGGAAGTGACTGCGAACAAAATCAGTATGAAAATCTGACATTAATCAAGAAACATTTGTATCAGTTCAACAGTAAGAATATTTTAAATGGAGGATTTAGAAGTGGAAAGAATATTGTTTTAACATGTTACATACATGTATGATCAGAGTCTGACACTAATGCTTGAGCTATGAAAGTATGGGCATATTTCAGTCAGTCGGAGACTTAATGTACATGTCAGTTAAAAACACTAATTGTTACTAGCATATATTTTCATGGATATTTTGGTATTGTAAATTGTGTGGAAAAATAATAATTTGGTTCAAAGATTTAAGGATTTGAACAAATGTGCTTACTATAATAAGTTTCCAGTTTCATCAATACCAATTCGAAATAGTTATGTTGTAGACATTAAATTTTATGAAGGGGCAATAACTCTGTAATTATGGGGCTGTGGGCCTTAACTTTGATAAATTGCACATTATCTTAGTATGATAAACGTATACACTATGTTTCATTGTCCTATTTTAAGTGCATGCAAAGTCATTATCAGGACACAAAATTTAAACAAAGGACAATAATTTGGCAGTTGTGGATCCTGATTTTGGTAATCTCACAACGACTAAGTATATCCAATTTATGCTGCTAATAATTTTATCTATATAATAAATTTTAACACACAGTAATAACTCTGTAAATAAGGGTCTGTAGACCTTGAATCCAGTGCACCGTTCATTCATTGCCATTGTGTAACTGCTGTGCACACCAACTTTCATGATCGTTGCTTAACTGTAGGCAAAGTTAGGCTCAGAACAAGAAAATAACAGACAGAATGACTAACGGACAAAACGACAACTATGTGCTCCCGCTCCAACCCCGAAATTTTTTGGGAGCATCAGAAAGTTTTCACAGTTCAATACCATTGAGTGTTTTAATTAACAACCAATTGGAGAGACAATATAACTAAAAGCCAGTACAACACCAGAAACGGACTGATATACTTGGTGTTAAGTGTTAAATGTAGTAATATTCAATTAATTACCCAATAGATCATTATTCTAATACTTTGGAATTTTAAAAAATAATTAAAGATTAAGAATAAACTGCTGTAAGAAAATTTCTTTCAAGATTTCAGCAATATAACTAATTCTCAGTTCTCAGAGATTTATTTTAACGAAATTCTGAACCACAATTGAAGTGTACAGCCTTCTTTCAGTTGTAAATTCAGTTACAAGGTTGAGGGGTTGAGGCCTAAATTAACTTCTGATTTAGAAAGGTGTCTTGTAGTTTTGTTTTAATAGCATTCGTAGTTATAACAAAAAAATATGATTTGTATGGCTTCATATTTGAGTGAACAAGTCACTGAATTAAAACATGCTTAGGATATCCGTATGATAGTTACCAAACTTTTCAGAAACAGGTCTTTGTCAGGCTCAAACACACAAATCTTAAACTACATCTAAGGTTGTGTAATAGTAACCAGTAAAGTTTAACTAATAAAATCTGTGTTATGATATGTGGCTATCAATCACACGTTTCCTTCAACTGCAAACTTTGTCAAAATAAACAGAACTTGAAAGAAAGTTGATTTACATTATACAAGACAATGAGAACATCATATTTTCTCTTTGGGAAATTTTCTTCAGGTTGTTATGTCAATAACATAAAAACATGTATATCACATTTTCTATAAAAAGGCATGGCTATCAGATAATGACTCATTAAAGCTTATGTTAGATCACTATTGGACGGGTGACTTTATTATGACATACATGCCTTACCATTACATTCAGAACCATTGTACAAGCAACAGAACAGCTTGTGACTCTGTCAGATAGATTGCTGCTAATGTGTACCTTTAATACGTCAGAATGAACTCCTTAAAATGAACCAGGATCCTTCCTACAGACTATTCACAACCACAAACAAATTAAGTTCAGATAAATTTATTTCCCATTTTATTTTCTATCTCTAAAAAGACCAGATTGAATTTAAAAGTACAATTAAAGGAACGCCACATGTTGGCCACCAGCTTCCCTTCATACCCGTAACACTAGGAGGTATCTTGGATTTCTTTACCATATCTGGGCTGTATTTAAATTCAATCAACTTATTAGACTGCAACAGTTGAAGCTGTCTACGTTGACAACACTTATGGTGGGATTACAGGCTACCTGTAACACTATCCTGTCATCACTGTAGTTTCCTTTCCCATAATTATTTAACATGTTTTTATTGCAGTTTAACTCACTTGCCCATCGTTTTTTTACCTCCAAGTGAAAACTTAGATCAGGTGGGGTTTTTTTTTTTTTTGTAATTTTGGAATTTGTTACCTGACATATTGAGAATATTATACAATGACAAGGACAAAGACAAAGTTTAAATACCAGACTCCTTTGATAACAATGAGTAAACATATCAGGTTGTGAAATCCACTGACAATACTACTGACTTGCTCTCTGAGAAGAATAGAGGCAAGTTGAACACTTTCAACAAGTCATAAACTATCGTGTTTCAGACATCTGTACAACCACAAATACTACTACGGCACAGACACGATATGAAGACGACACAAAAACCTGATGAATAATGAGCTTGGTTGTGACACAACTTGACAAAACTTTTCAAAGCTTAACTCAAACTGCATTTTTCTCTGTGATCTGAGAAGTGTAATAGGAGGATAGTCAACAGTATCATTACTGGCCTAAAGGCAAGCTGACGGACATGAAACTTGACGGTTTAGAGTTGGTTTTAAAGGTGTCCTCCACAATTCTATTTCTATCTTCAAACCCAGTTAAAACCATGTGAAATTACCTGTTTCAGGCCTATAAACTTCATTGTGTAATACTTAAAACATCACATCTCCACATGTACGTTTTATAATCAAATAAAACCACCATAAAAATCTCATCACTGCTTTCCAAGTAGCTGCAGACTGTTGCTGCAAAACGTGTTAGAAGTGGCCTTGTTCCTTTGATGTATGACCACGTCTTACTGTCCTTTATTTCTATAGCGATACCTTATACAGATAAATGGCCAACATAATCTCCTGTCGACTGGTTATTGTCAAGTAATCATCTTAAATTGCGTAATTTTATGATAAATAAACAGTTAATCAAAAAGTAATGAAAACTGATAAGAGACAGATATTTGAGGTATGCCTTCAGTCAGACACAAAGCTGTCCTGACTCCATAGCAATACCATACCTCTGACTATCTTATCAAATCTAATTGAAAAAAAAAGTAAAAAGTTTTTTATTTTCTCCATCTTGTATAATTCAGTACCATTCCATATAAAGAAAACAACAAACATGTTATAAATACTTGGTTGTTGTAGATGAATGTAATTTTAAAAAAATAATCAAAATCTATCTACCCTTTACCTAAATCTAATAGAATCACTGTATTTTTGGTATTACTTAGCATCAGAGATGGAAACAGTTCCATAAATAAATGTGCAAAAAAATTTCAAGAAGTACTCACCTTTCGACCTTGAGGAGTTGTGTCCCTTGATCTCCTGCCACACCTTGAAGAAAAAGAAAGATTTCATTTGATATTCGTAAGGAAACTTGATATGGTATAGATAAAAAAAACAGATATAGATCAGGGAACATGGTTTGGTACAGATCAGGGGACATGGTTTGGTATAGATCAGGGGACATGGTTTGGTACAGATCAGGGGACATGGTTTGGTACAGATCAGGGGACATGGTTTGGTACAGATCAGGGAACAAGGTTTGGTACAGATCAGGGAACACGGTTTGGTACAGATCAGGGAACATAGTTTGGTACAGATCAGGGAACACGGTTTGGTGTAGATCAGGGAACAAGGTTTCGTATAGATCTGGGCACACGGTTTGGTATAGATCAGGGAACACGGTTTGGTACAGATCAGGGAACACGGTTTGGTACAGATCTGGGAACACAGTTTGGTATAGATCAGGGAACACGGTTTGGTATAGATCAGGGAACACGGTTTGGTATAGATCAGGGAACACAGTTTGGTATAGATCAGGGAACATGGTTTGGTACTGATCAGGGAACAAGGTTTGGTACAGATCAGGGAACACGGTTTGGTACTGATCAGGGAACACGGTTTGGTATAGATCAGGGAACACGGTTTGGTACAGATCAGGGAACATGGTTTGGTACAGATCAGGGAACAAGGTTTGGTACAGATCAGGGAACATGGTTTGGTACAGATCAGGGAACATGGTTTGGTACAGATCAGGGAACAAGGTTTGGTACAGATCAGGGAACATGGTTTGGTACAGATCAGGGAACAAGGTTTGGTACTGATCAGGGAACATGGTTTGGTATAGATCAGGGAACAAGGTTTGGTACTGATCAGGGAACAAGGTTTGGTACTGATCAGGGAACATGGTTTGGTATAGATCAGGGAACATGGTTTGGTATAGATCAGGGAACATGGTTTGGTATAGATCAGGGAACATGGTTTGGTATAGATCAGGGAACATGGTTTGGTACAGATCAGGGAACATGGCTTGGTACAGATCAGGGGACACGGTTTGATGTAGATCAGGGAACATGGTTTGGTACAGATCAGGGAACAAGGTTTGGTACTGATCAGGGAACATGGTTTGGTATAGATCAGGGAACATGGTTTGGTATAGATCAGGGAACATGGTTTGGTATAGATCAGGGAACATGGTTTGGTACAGATCAGGGAACATGGTTTGGTACAGATCAGGGAACATGGTTTGGTACAGATCAGGGAACATGGTTTGGTACAGATCAGGGAACACGGTTTGGTACAGATCAGGGGACACGGTTTGGTACAGATCAGGGAACATGGTTTGGTACAGATCAGGGAACATGGTTTGGTATAGATCAGGGAACATGGTTTGGTATAGATCAGGGAACACGGTTTGGTACAGATCAGGGAACACGGTTTGGTACAGATCAGGGAACACGGTTTGGTACAGATCAGGGAACACGGTTTGGTACAGATCAGGGAACACGGTTTGGTACAGATCAGGGGACACGGTTTGGTATAGATCAGGGAACATGGTTTGGTATAGATCAGGGAACATGGTTTGGTATAGATCAGGGAACATGGTTTGGTATAGATCAGGGAACATGGTTTGGTACAGATCAGGGAACATGGTTTGGTACAGATCAGGGAACATGGTTTGGTACAGATCAGGGAACATGGTTTGGTATAGATCAGGGAACATGGTTTGGTACAGATCAGGGAACATGGTTTGGTATAGATCAGGGAACATGGTTTGGTATAGATCAGGGAACATGGTTTGGTATAGATCAGGGAACATGGTTTGGTACAGATCAGGGAACATGGTTTTTGGTATAGATCAGGGAACATGGTTTGGATATGGTTTGGTACTGATCAGGGAACATGGTTTGGTATAGATCAGGGGAACATGGTTTGGTATCAGATCAGGGAACATGGTTTGGTACAGATCAGGGAACATGGTTTGGTACAGATCAGGGAACATGGTTTGGTACAGATCAGGGAACATGGTTTGGTACAGATCAGGGAACATGGTTTGGTACAGATCAGGGAACATGGTTTGGTATAGATCAGGGAACATGGTTTGGTACAGATCAGGGAACATGGTTTGGTACAGATCAGGGAACATGGTTTGGTATAGATCAGGGAACATGGTTTGGTATAGATCAGGGAACATGGTTTGGTACAGATCAGGGAACATGGTTTGGTACAGATCAGGGAACACGGTTTGGTATAGATCAGGGAACACGGTTTGGTACAGATCACATGGTTTGGTATAGATCAGGGAACAAGGTTTGGTACTGATCAGGGAACAAGGTTTGGTACTGATCAGGGAACATGGTTTGGTACAGATCAGGGAACATGGTTTGATGTAGATCAGGGAACATGGTTTGATGTAGATCAGGGAACATAATACATTCAGTATAATCCACAAAATAATGATAATAAAAATGACATCAGAACACAGATGTTCAGCGATACCCGGACACGGTAAGAATCACTGAGATGGAAAACCTGTCAACCAACCAAGTGTTGATAATCTTTCATAATCAAATCCAAGAAGACTGACTGTCATCTGTTTTACTTATATGATCAGTCTTTCAAAATCAAAAGGGCACAGCCTGAAACTTGATATGAAATTTTAAGAACTCCAGAAATAGCAAGAGGAAGAATTGTTTAAGGACTGACAATGGGCGGATTAACCCAGGAACATGGAAACAGCCTACCAACTGATGACGAGGAGCTAAAAAATAATTGTGAATCTTTCCATAACATTAACATGACAAAGAACTGGTATAGACTGGAACTGCATTAATTTCAGAAGAATATTAACTAATAAAAGCAATAGATTGAATACAAATCTTGGTCTTAATCAAGTTGCCTTTGTTTAGCTACTCTAGAGTTACAGTGAAAGTACCACTCAACAGCCACCAGGCAAATACAACTGAAGTGGCTAATGTTGAGAGCAATGACAGATGGGGCAGATAATCACACTGAACATATTATTGATATTCCTGGTTATACAAGAAAAATGAAATACATAATGACAAGAATATATCGCATGGCTGCAACACTACCTGTGACAAAAGCTGCTCATTGTTTCCTCTCCGTCTAATTGCCAATTATTATTAATCTACCAAATTCCATTTTATTGCATTTAAATTAGCATTGTTTAAAAACGATATTAGGATTGGTGACAAATCTTGTAATATAGGATATCTAATGTAAGGTTTATCTCCTTTTCTTCACAAAGACAGAGAATTTAATATATCTACACTATAAATAAAAGATGTACCAGGTAACAGACCGTTGTAACAGGACGATATGAAAAGTGACCTCACAATCTTACCTGCTACAGCAAGAACCAAAAACAGATACCTCAGACAATGTCCTGGTTTTTTTTTAATTGAGTGAGAAACTTTGAATAATGTCCTCGTTTTGTTTTATAGAGAGATCAACTTTGGGAAATGTCCTTGTTTTGTTTTATAGAGAGATCAACTTTGGAAAATGTCCTTGTTTTGTTTTATAGAGAGATCAACTTTGGAAAATGACCTCGTTTTGTGAAATGTCCTTGTTTTTTTTTATAGAGATCAACTTTGGGAAATGTCCTGTGTTGTTTGATAGAGAAATAAACTTTGGACAATGTCCTTGTTTTGTTTTATAGAAAGAGAAACTAAAGACAACACTCTGCTTTGTCCATTTTGTAACTTTGTGTTCTATCAGGTATTACTTTCTTAACAATAACTTTCTAACATCAAAAATGTTATTTAATTTCAATTTTATTTGATACTTCAAGCCAGGAGCCTATTTGAATATACATGTATGTTTCATACATCCTTACTTTCAATAAGTTTTGTTTTAATTTCTCTCATGTGGCCGCTGAATTTAAAATAGAGATAAAACTCAAATCTCTAATGAAGCTAAGTTAGAAACTGTTTATATTGACAAATCAAATAGCATGAATTCATTGATGAATTCCTCAAATGCAGGTTACACTTTAACATGTGCCATCAGTTTAGGACAAAAAGTTTTATCACAAGATCCCACTAATCTCTAAAGGTCTATACACAGTCAGCCAGTTTACAAATGTCCTAATGAAGATGGATCTCTGTGGAGAGTTTCACAAAATGATATTTTGTGACAGGGGATCTTAAGATGCAATCTTTTAATCACATATGTAACCATATATAATGACCATGTCTCTGATGTTGATAGATAAAACATTACAGGTGTAAGTATGGTCTACTCTCGTGTCGGACATGTAGGAAATATATAAAAACAGATAATTTAACAACTCTCTGTAACAAACCATTATTTCCAAACCAATACACTACATAATAACAGGCCAGCAATGCCAAAATAACAGCAATTTTCTCTCCTCCAGCAGTGGAGAGCGACAGACAATTTACACATAACCAATACAAAAAAACTACTCCCAAAGTACTTTACAGATGATTCCACCCAAACAGACATTAAAATAAGCACCTTTTCTATTCCACTTCTCAATTTTCTTGCAGAGTTCAGCTATCTCTATCTATAGAGTTTCCATGGTTTATTAGTTTGCTCCAAACCAGATGTCATTTTTCTTTTTTTGTCCGCAGTCTCATTTTTTGGAAGCTAACTATATTAGTGGCCATCCAGACAGTGGAGACCTAGGACCACTAACAAAAATGCAAGAGTAACTCAATTTTCTAGCAAAACAATTTGTCAACAAGTATTTCTTTCTGTCAAACTGCAGTAATATGACTTGGTGAAAAACTCATCACATGAGTGTAATTAACAAACCATGCCCTTAAAAGGCATGGCGAACTGACGAGTTGGGGCCAAAATATAAACCACTTAGAGTGTTAACTTGCCTGGTAATCATTTGATTGTGTTCTCTTGATCAAATTAGTCAATGACAAATGGAGAATTAGAGGACCTCTAGCTTTTCAAAATTTGATTACAATCCAATTCTGTAAATGAACTTGTTAGGAACACTGGTTAACCGCAAATATGGATGAGTGTCTTTCTTTGGCTGTCAGGTAAGTGCTGCTAATAAGAGAGTATGTGTCCCCTCCATCCTGGTGTAATATTTAATGTTCCTACATCTGGACTCAAATTATGCCTCCCTTCTACCCCTAGTATAATACTGTCCCTACATCTGGACCCAGAGTTCATGTTCCCTCTACCCCTAGTATAATACTGTCCCTACATCTGGACCCAGACTTCATGTTCCCTCTATGTCTGGTGTAATACTGTCCCTACATCTGGACCCAGAGTTCATGTTCCCTCTACCCCTAGTATAATACTGTCCCTACATCTGGACCCAGACTTCATGTTCCCTCTATGTCTGGTGTAATACTGTCCCTACATCTGGACCCAGAGTTCATGTTCCCTCTACCCCTAGTATAATACTGTCCCTACATCTGGACCCAGACTTCATGTTCCTTCTATGTCTGTTGTAATACTGCCCCTACATCTGGACCCAGAGTTCATGTTCTCTCTGTGTCTGGTGTAATACTGTCCCTACATCTGGACCCAGAGTTCATGTTCCCTCTACCCCTAGTATAATACTGTCCCTACATCTGGACCCAGACTTCATGTTCCCTCTATGTCTGGTGTAATACTGTCCCTACATCTGGACCCAGAGTTCATGTTCCCTCTACCCCTAGTATAATACTGTCCCTACATCTGGACCCAGACTTCATGTTCCTTCTATGTCTGGTGTAATACTGCCCCTACATCTGGACCCAGAGTTCATGTTCTCTCTGTGTCTGGTGTAATACTGTCCCTACATCTGGACCCAAAGTTCATGTTCCCTCTACATCATCTAGACTTATTATAATATATATACTGTATGAAAAGTTTCAGATGATATTTAATTCTATTTGTAAGGACACCTGACCATCTAGCAACATCCTATTTGAATAAAGTGTAAATCAATTATGATATTTCATACAAGTGAAATTTTAATTGATATAACTTTACCAGTCCATATCGTGTAAAGATATGACGTTTAATAATGGGTGCAGAGAGTATAAACAATAATGGGTGCAAGTTTATGGTTAATTTCTGTCGGCAACATTTGTTTAAACGACATCACATCCTCAGAACATATCTAAATGATCATATACTCTTATTACATAGACATTTATGTTTCAATAAGAATATTCCTTTGCTAAACCAAACTAAATTATTATGACAGATAATTTTTCATTTCCATCCCGAAGTGTGACAGTATATGCTGTAAAGTACAGAGCCCAAACTTGATTTAACACCAAGCATGATTAATGACGACTGATAGAAAACCTAGGGAGCCCTATCTGTAGATCTGTGTAGAGTACAAACCATCACATACCGACATTAGTTGTTACCAATTAAGTCTGTATTATTGTCTGCTGGATCTAGATAAACAATACAATTTTTCCAGTCATAATCACAAAATACATTCTAATCAAATTTCTGCCAGAATACACCAGTTTCCATCAACAAAGTAACTGCATAAAAATCAATTTACAAACATTACAACTGGGATCAAACGCTGTAACTCTTGTGTGTCACTTGTTCTTATTGAATATCAATGAATTAATATGCATATAAGTTGTCTAAAGTACTGTTATGGTAGTAATAACACACACAGTATAACACTGACTCTCTATTTTATGGGCAATAGATCACATGTGTTGTCACCCCTCTCTCCATCCTCTTTATACAACCTCAAGCTTTCTCAAACAACTCAATTTCTATTCTTTTTAAACACAGAACAAAATTCACAAAAATAGACAACATAATTTTTTTTTTTATTTCACAAAAAATTTATGAAAATTAAACAAAATGAATTTTTTCATTGTTTCTATAATCTTAATAAAAACACTAAACTTTATTCAAGCTAATCAGACTTTGAATCAAAGACGATCTGAACACAATATTAAAATCCATTCCAGGGCTTGCCAGTAGGCGACACAGGCAAAACAGCAATACAGCAAACCGCATCTGTTTCATCTCAAAAGTCCATTCTAATACAAAAATCATAGCTTACAAATACAAAATCAACTACTGTATTGATTTTTCAGTCAGAAAAAAAAGAATTTAATATACATTTCTGATTTTCATTTTCTCTTTATCTTGTTTAAAGTCGCTACAGAAAAGTGATGGATTCATTTGATATAAGTTTTCACAAAGGAATACAATAAGTACAGCAATGCTGTAATACATTTCTGATTGCCCATTGCCAGCATAAACAAATCCACATGAAGACAGCACAATGCTAAATCCCATTCCACGGTCGTTGTATTTCAATTACAAGCCATGTTTACAAGCTATGTACTGTTGCCCTTGTGACACACCATATACATATTGTACTCAATTTAAATCAAAATCCGAGGTCTAACTGATAATTACTTAGAAACTTGAGAAGCGAGTAATTTTTTTATTGAGTAAAAACTAACTAACATTCACAGCTGGTGACTGTTATAAATGCAGGGTATACTCCTACCTTCCACAATCTAATTAATTTGTATGTATTTGTATTACGTGTCCAGAAAAGATAGCACCTGTCTTTTACATCTTTGTAAGACTACTTATGTAGTACATCGCCCTGGTGAATGTTACCTATATATCACTGCCACAACAGTAGAATTAAATCTTCACCAAGTACATTAAATTCTCTATGTTTGACACGTATCTTATACAAGGTATGAATTTGATAAAATACCCGAGACTCTTTATCGGAATTCTATGAAATCCTTCTTCCTGATGCTCTGTTCCGCAATATCTTTCATCAGGTAATGTCTGTTGGTATTTTTAACTTTCACTAATGAATTAGGAAGCTTCTCATAATGACCTTATGCATTGTAGTCTTGGTAACCATCAGTAGTAATTTTATGTTTTGTTGAAATAATCTTTCATTAGCTGTCAGATCATGTGAATTTATGAAAAGTTGGAGCTGAAGTGTAGAAAAGTCAGATCGTGTTTCAGGAAGAAGTATAAGTGTTGTGACTGGGTTTGCGAGTTTCAGGATGAACAGGATGAGTGAAGGATGTCACATTACCACAGGAATATGTTGGATTATCGGTTTAGTATATCTTATTAAACAGGATCTCATGGCAGATCATCCTTTACACTGTCCTGTCTGTATAAACAAACATTTACCTCTACTTATAAATCGTGTTTAAATATAAATACATAAACTTCATTTATTTTACAACAATTGCGAAACAAGCTTTCAGCTTATATAAATCACTCTTGTTGGCTGGATGGAAGCATGCTGGGGTCTTACTGAGGGAGGAAACCGGAGCACACGATATTTAAACTACATCACATTGTTCCATAACTTTATGGAAAATATTTCGCAGATTAAATACTTAAATGTTTTGAAATTGACTATCTATTCTTGACCATTTCTTAAGCATCATCGTCTCTACGATAAGGACCATCACAGATAACACAAAATCTGTTAACTTTACTACGTGCTGTATGTAACTGTATAGCCATTTGTGACACTGATATATATAGTATAGCAATCATGTCTGTAAAGATTTATAACAACCAGATTTGTTTCCTGATCAGGTGAAGTAATCTAGTTTTATAGTTAAGAGGATATATCTTACCGTGTGTACCGATTGAGTTTGTCAAGTTCGAGGTTGAAATGGGCGTCAACCTCCCCTGGTCTCAGGGTGATACCACAGATAGGACAGCATGGTGTCTGGCCATCCAACACACATTTTCTCCTTTGCTCTGAAATCAACATCTATAATTAAATTTCACTGAAAACAAATTCAGGAATTTACATATTAAAGTTTGATCTGTCTATCACGACTGAAAAAGGAACAATTACGGGTTCAACTCTGACAGTAAATATAGTCTGTAATTTACATGCTGTTACAAAGTTCTATTCACTGGGTCCATTATGACAAAAAAATGCCACTCACAACAGAATCTAGTGGTAAATATCTTTACTAAGATTTATCTACTTTGAAAAAAAAAAAATTTTGCATACTTAACATGACATATACATATAACGATATTCCCAGTGTCTAACATCAGGGATAGCAGGGAAATGTATAGATGTGAGGCTTAACTTTAGTACACTAAGACAAATCTCAGGACTTATTCCCACATAAGTATTTATCTGGACATATAACCTGAGGGCTAATTTGTACATATAGATCTACCTGAGGGCTAACTTGTACAAAAAGATCTACTTGAGGGCCAAATTGTACATATAGATCTACCTGAGGGCCAAATTGTACATTTAGATGTAAGGGCTACCTTGTGAATTAAGATCAATTTCAGGGCTAACTGGTACAATAAGAGCTATCAAAGGGATATCTTATATCAAGATCTATTTGTGGGCTATCTTATACAATAAGATCTATTTTAGGGCTAGCTTATACAATAAGATCTATTTGAGGGCTAGCTTATACAGTAAGATCTATTTGAGGGCTAGCTTATACAGTAAGATCTATTTGAGGGCTAGCTTATACAGTAAGATCTATTTGAGGGCTAGCTTATACAATAAGATCTATTTGAGGGCTAGCTTATACAATAAGATCTATTTGAGGGTAAGCTTATACAATAAGATCTATTTGAGGGCTAGCTTATACAATAAGATCTATTTGAAGGCAAGCTTATACAGTAAGATCTATTTGAGGGCTAGCTTATACAATAAGATCTATTTGAGGGCTAGCTTATACAATAAGATCTATTTGAGGGCTAGCTTATACAATAAGATCTATTTGTGGGCTATCTTATACAATAAGATCTATTTGAGGGCAAGCTTATACAATAAGATCTATTTGAGGGCTAGCTTATACAATAAGATCTATTTGAGGGCAAGTTTATACAATAAGATCTATTTGAGGGCTAGCTTATACAATAAGATCTATTTGAGGGCAAGCTTATACAATAAGATCTATTTGAGGGCAAGCTTATACAATAAGATCTATTTGAGGGCTAGCTTATACAATAAGATCTATTTGAGGGCAAGTTTATACAATAAGATCTATTTGAGGGTTAGCTTATACAATAAGATCTATTTGAGGGCAAGCTTATACAATAAGATCTATTTGAGGGCTAGCTTATACATTTCAATCAGAGGCTAACTTGTGCAACAGGAGCTATCTGAGGGCTATGTAATACATTAAGACCTATCTGTGGGCTATATTGTACATTAAGATTTATCTGACTAAGGACTAACTTGACATTACAATCAATCTGAGGGCTTACTTGCACAATAAGAGCTATCACAGGGATATTTTATACATCAAGATCTATGTGAGTGCTAGCTTATAAAATTGAGAACTATTTGAGGGCTAACTTGTATATTAAGATCAATCTCAATCTGAGGGCTAACTTGTACAATAAGAGCTATCTCAGGGCTATCTTTTATATTCAAATTTATCTGAAGGGCACCTTGCTCATTAATATCTATCTAAGAGCTGTATCATACACATTACACCAAGATCTATCTGAGGGCTACTTTATACACTTTAGATCTGAGTGATACATTATGCATTAAGATCTATTTGATGTCGAACTTATACATTAAAATCAATATGAGGGCTAACTTGAACATAAAGATCCATCTGAGGGCTATCTGATCTTTCACACCAAGATTTATCTCAGGGGTAACTCATTCATGAATGTCTATCTCGGAACAATGTAATATACTGAAATCTATCTGAGTGTTACCCAAAGTCACTGTAAAATAAACATTACCTGGTCTAATTTGACTTAAGATAAGGAATCTTCCATTTAAGATTGGTACTGACTTTCACAAATTACATGCTAGGAAAAACCCAAGTAAGATGAATTACTTCAGACTGGACCCTAGGGAATGGTCATACTCTTCAAGCATTCCTTAGATTAGACACTGTGGAATGAGTAGACCCCAGGTAGAAACCAAACTCTGAGTCTAGCAATACCTTAAGACATATTGACATAATTTTACCTCCATGTCTATACTTTATTTTACTATTCTGTAATGGCAACACAGTATGACATCATAATGTGTCTTTTACGACGCCCTGATGAAGGAAATCTGATGCTAGTGACAGGTTTATACAAAGCTGATATTTTTACCACCCAAATCAAGTGAAAAGGCAAAGCTGATTTTTTTATTTTTTAAATTTGTCGACCTTTGACCTAACAACACCTCTACACAGCTTCTCAGACTTTGGTTTACAGTCTTTTAAAGGTTTTGACAGATCTGACCCCTGTTTTCTAAAAAACAGTTCAAGGTCGTTTCTTTTTGCAAACTTTGTCAGGCTTCATAAAAGAGACCTACCAGCCTAGTATCATGATTCTATTCCTTTTGTTTAATTAGAAAAAAGTTGTTTAAAAGGTTTTGACAAATTTGACCCCTGTCACTTTTAATAATCTATTCTTAAAAATATTGTCAGGGATCTATCAGCAAAATGTCATGCTTCTAGGCTTTTTGGTATTTTTTTTATTGCAGTCTATGTCTGGACTCATCCTAGCGACCTACCACTTAAATATGCTTCTACGTCCTTCGGTTAGTCAAAAGGTGATGTTCAAAGGTTTTGACTAACCCTTACCCTGTGATCTAGAATTTATATCAAAGTCATTTTACAAACTTTGCTGCGTTTCATCCCAGGGACTTACCAGCCAAATATCACTCTGTTTGTCCAAAGATGTTGTCTAAAGACTTTGTCAAATTTGATCCCTGTGACCTTGAATATAGGTCAAGGTAAATTCTTTTCACAAACTTGACCTTTTATGTGTTGACAGGCCCTTAGAAATGTAATAATAATAATAATTTCCACAAACTTTGTTAGGCTTCATCCCTGGAACCTATCCTGTAAATATCACAACTTTAGGTGAGTGGGTTATTAAGAAGGAGTCCTTTAAAGGAAAAAGTTGATGCCAAGCAGACAACTGGAGTGAATGTTCAAAAAGACAGAGCTGACATACTTGCCCACTAAATCAAGTGAAAAGACAAAGCTGACAAACTTACCAACTAAATTAAGTGAAAAGACAAAGCTGACAGACTTGCCTACTAAATTAAGTGAAAAGACAGAACGGACAAAACTTACCAACTAAATAAAGTGAAAAGACAGCTGACAGACATGCCTACTAAATCAAGTGAAAAATCAGAGCTGTTAAAATTCATCTCTGAGAACCAGTCATATGATAATGCTGACAGATTTACCTCCCAATTCAAGAATTCTAAAATTCAAATAAAAGATCAGCCATATCAGACCAGACGATAACTGTATACCTTTACTGATTTATCTGTTCTAAAATGATTTAAGAATTCCAAAAAAGTGGTTTCTGACTGTAGACTGTTACATAATGTAAAGCACTGTATGCCAGGCCCTTCACCTTATCAAGTTCACACTGTGTCATTCTGTATGCAATGCAACAGAATAAGTGACATGTTAAAACTCCTGTCCTACAGCCATATCAACCTCCTCAACATGCAGCTTTGCAGATTCATTAATGTTTCTTCTATCAGATTCATATCTAAAAATTTATGCAAATGATCTCTCAACAAAGCCAGCACTTGGACATTTGAATCTTTGGTTAACACAGCTATTTCCATTTGGTAGATTGTCAAACAATAAGACAGGAGCTTGGGACCATCAAGTGGGTGACAGCCCGTCACTCAACAGAGCTACACAATTATTAACTGGCTGTCACTTCCCTGCACAGTCCCAAACAAATGTGGAGATCTCTAATCCCGCCTAGTCCTATTTGACAGAGCACAGAACTTCAAATCTCTGTACAACTGTGTACAACTCCCAGTATGTCACGGTCAAAATCAATAGGCGGTAATACCTGGTTAATTATCAAGTTCCTCAGTAAACCCTGTATTCTAGATCACCCTAATCCCTACTAACAGAGCGGCTCTATACCCAGGCCAGAGATCACGCAGCACAGTGAGTTATCCCCCCATCCAAAACGTATCAGACGGTCCATCCACGATCACACTGGCACACCTTTTCAGGCTCAATGACAGATCACACCTTATCAGTGCCTGCCATCAAAGGATCAGGACTTTGGGATCAAACCCCTAAAATCCTCAAGCCTCAATCAAACGGTGGGGTTACTTAACAGCAGAATTGGGCCTTCACACAGTGTATCTTTATAACACAGCAAGAGGCTCGTTTCTTTGTCAAGAACTATGTCGACCTTTAGATTTTTTTCGGTGCTATTAAATATTTGGGAACAAAAAACAATAGAAAGGTCTAACTAACATCTGCCTAAGAAAATCCCTTAAGTATGTGTTACTGTCTCTACTGCAATATCTAGATACAGCACAGAGTTGTAACAGATACAGCATTATAATTCATAGATACAGCACTGAATTGTCTTGGCTGTTTGAGGGAGAATCAAGAGACATACCCAGCTATTTGAGGGAGAAATAGGAGACATACCCAGCTATTTGAGGGAGAATCAAGAGACATACCCAGCTATTTGAGGGAGAAATAGGAGACATACCCAGCTATTTGAGGGAGAATCAGGAGACATACCCAGCTATTTGAGGGAGAATCAGGAGACATACCCAGCTATTTGAGGGAGAAATAGGAGACATACCCAGCTAATTGAGGGAGAATCAGGAGACATACCCAGCTATTTGAGGGAGAATCAGGAGACATACCCAGCTGTCTGAGGCAGAATCAGGAGACATACCCAGCTATTTAAGGGAGAATCAGGAGACATACCCAGCTGTTTGAGGGAGAACTAGGAGATATACCCAGCTGTTTGAGGGA